TAATTTGTCATCGACATTCAAATCCATAAATACATTATCATTTAATATTTCACCAAATGATTGCGATCTTATCTCATTATATTTTGGACAATTAAGCAAGAAATATATATGATATATAAATGTATATTCTTAAATACATCTTCTAAACCAATGGATTTTATAATAACTATGATCAAAATTGTGAATGACGTAGTCGGATCAATGTAATAAAGAATTAGTTTTTCATACGTGTCTAGGAAAAATGATATGACTTTTACAACAGTAATCAAATAGTGATATTTGGAGGGTTTGTGTATGTGTGAAAAGGAATTTTGGACAATAATTATTTGTCACTTTTTCAGTTTACAGTGAAATTGTTAGGATGACGTACATTACTTGACAAAGTATATCAACTCTCCACCTGCTTAAATGAAGTTGTTAAATTAAATGTTAATTTCGCATTATTAAATAACGCATTATTTGTGATATACTTTGAGTGAGACTAAAAAAGGAATGGAGCACCACACTAAATATCGTATTCCGGTAAATACCGGACAAGGCTTGAATGATTAAATGCTAAAATCTTCCATTTTCAACCAGCAGAATGATTTTTTAAAGGTCTTATTCATCTTGTCACACCGATTTATGTAAAATAATGAATGACAAATGTAAGAACCGTTGAAAAAACGATATTTGTCTATTTTGTGATCATGATTTCTGCAAGCGTCTAAGAGGTACTGCTTCAGTCCTGTAATGAGTTAAATCAGTTGAATTATTATCATTTTAATAAGAGGACAAGGTTAGCTTTTAAAAAAGCTAGTAGCGACTCGCTTCAGCGAACATCAAAATAAAAGTGACATACAAAGTTAAGGAAGCCAGTTCTCTCAGTTTAACAAAGAGGAATATGAGTATAATTATATGAAGATGCATGTAAACAGATAGAATGAAGTCCCTATGTCTATGCACATTTACTATATGGCCTGTTGACCTTGACTAAAAAAATTGTTAGATAGGTAGAATTCATAAAGATGTCTCTTTATACGAAGTTAGGTTGTTAAATGTTATTACGTATTGGAATCAATGAGTTACAGACACAAGTCCTTAAGTAAACACGAGTTGTCAATCAATTCAGATCATATTAAAAATGTAGGGATCCCGGAAATTGACCATTCTAAGAAGATGTGTTTCAGATAAGTCGGGGTCGTATTAAAACATATAGGGATCCCAGGAATTGACCAGTTCAGGAATGTAAATTTCAGAAAAGCCGGGATCGTATTAAAACATATAGGGATCCCAGGAATTGACCAGTTCAGGAATATAAATTTCAGAAAAGCCGGGATCGTATTAAAATATATAGAGATCCCAGGATTTGGCCAGTTCAAGAATATCGTTTTCTTCTATATCAACCTTTACATGACTTAAATTGGCCAACTTCAAAATTTTAAAGAACTACCTCCTAGACTACAAAGGGTTACCAGGGTGAACCCTTTGGTAAAGTTGACACTTTCAGTCTTTTTTATGTCTGAAAGGTTTTAATGGAAACTGTAGGTGGTGGATTTCCCAAAGAATATTAGCGTTCGTATATTAAAGCTAGCCTGTCTTGTTTTTTCCCTTTAAATTCTTGTCTCTAAGTTTTTTTTCCTTTTTTATGGTCAATTATTTGAATTCTAATTATTTCAAAGATACTGAAACTTATCCAGCGTCTGTAAGAAGAGTACAATAGGTCGATGATATCAAAAAAGCTCATATGAGCCGCGTCACGACAAAACCAACATTGTGGGTTTGCGACCAGCATGGATCCTGATCAGACTGCGCGGATGCGCATCCGCGCAGTCTGATAAGGATCCATACTGTTCGCTATCAGTTTCTTTACTTGTAATAGAGTTGGTAAGCGAACAGCATGGATCCTGATCATACTGCGCGGATGTGCAGGCTGGTCTGGATCCATGCTGGTCGCAAACACATTATGTTGGTTTTGTCATGACGCGGCTGATATTTAATATTTAACCCGCTACTCAACTAAAAAAGCAAAACTAGAAAACTACAAGAACAATAACAGCAACAAAACAAAAAGAAACAACAACAACAACAACAACAACAACAACAACAAAACAGCAAAACAAAAACCAACGAAACAACAACACAATATAATACAAAGAAAAAAACGACAAAAAAACTCGAGAAAAGAAAACCAAATAAAGACACACTCAAACACATGACAACAACAACAACAACAATGATACAACGACAACAACAATGATGAAACAACAACAAAAAAGACAACAACAATAAAACCAAATTACTTAAAGTCCGCCTTAAATAGTATTTCAAATAAATGGAAATGCACAGTCATCTCTGCTGTAAAAGCGAAGTACTAAAATCAGGACACTTATAAGCCTTAACTTGATCCGATTATGGCCAAGAGTATTAGTAATTTGATGAATCATGACGCGTGTTCCAATAGTTCACCCCTGTCAGATTAAAAAGGAATAGTACATATAAACTTAGTGTAATCAACTACAAGAACTAAAAGTTCATACCGTTCAATTAAAGGAACCTCACAAGGGTCCAGGACACTTCAAAATAGAAGCTAAAATTATTTTACTTGTTATCAGCTTAGGTACTGGTGTGCTTAAATTGTTTTAAATGCATTCCTGTAAACACTGTCTATCATTTGCATCATTAACTTATTTTTGTTCTATTCGTAGCCCGATTTAAGTGAAAAAACCTTGCATCGCTTTTCTATTTTGGATTATTTTTCACGATTAGAATAGTTCTTCTGGAAAAAAAATGGAATTTGCAAATTATTTTCAATTTTGCACACAAGTTACTGTTGTAGACTGACATCAAAAGGAATAGTAATTTTGAAAAAAAATATTTCCAGTCCCGTCATGTCTAAAAAAGCACAGTGGAGTCCCTTTTATGATTTAACATATTTTCAATTTAACATGCTTTTTCTTTTCTTTATATAACGACCAACGAAGTGTCGGCAAGTCCAGAGAAAAAATAGTTTATTTTTACAAAGCCTTTAAGGCATTGCAATGTCACAAATACGAGTAATGGTGATAAAATTCCAAAAAGTGGAATCACTCTTCATGAGAAATATCTTATGTCCACTGACACAATTTTATTCAAAACCGGAAACTAAAAGTATTGGAATCAACGACCTTTTTGGCTTTTCTGCAATATGCAAAATGCACATACGGAAATGAAATGCCACTTCCGTTTCTACGGGAACGTGTTAATAAGAATTTTGAAAAAGAGGACCCCTCGTGGTCAACGGAGACCAAAAACAATTAGTTTACAAGTGCATGAGCGGTTTAGTTAAATATATACACATTGTATATATGCAGTAAACAAAAAAGGTATACTTCGTACATTCTTGCATCAACAGTTATACTTCAAAATTTACATGTCATTACAAGCGATATTTTACTTAAAGGACGCCAAATTTACACATTATGTTACGTTCCCAAAGAAATGGCATTGTACGAAAGTCCAAACATACTTGTCACTTCTGAATATCTTATAAATATTTTCTATTATATATCATAGGTATTCTTTAGTATCTCAAACAGAAACATATGTTGATAACACCTTTTTTTCGTGTTAAGATGTTGATTTTCAGTACAAGCCGGTGCTAGGGATGGGCTAGAACGAAAAGTTGTATTTACCATTTAGGAACAGATTCATTCAAACTGAGTCTATAATATTTTCAATCTTGTCTTACTGAATGCCTTTTACGCTTTCCATTTGATCTATTTTACATTTAGAAATGTACAATTATTTATCATGAACAAAAGGTTTTTTTACAAATACGAAATGCAAATAGTTTCTGTCAATGAATAAATATAAGATGAATATCTACCTTACGGAATCTACTAGTGATTAATATATAAGAAACAAGCAAACTTTTGCATCTAAGTACATATGCCCTTCCATGACCAACCAGTACACAATGTTGTTTTTTTTTCTTCTCACTAAGAATCATCCAAAATATATCAGATTTGATTAGAAAACATAGTACATAGTAAAGTACACTTCCATATATATATATATATATATATATATATATATATATATATATATATATATATATATATATATATATATATATATATATATATATATATATATATATATATATATATTATATGATATATAACTGGGTGTATTAATTAATATATTTACAAATAGGTTTCAACGTGGCAAATTTCTGAGGATAGTGCTAAGAAATAGATACGTACAGATATACACGTGTGAATATTTCAAATAATTAGCTTTTTGTTCTAATATAACATTAACGTTTATCTGTTAAAGTAAATATATGTAAAAGAGGAAGTAAAAATAACCTGAATCAAACAAAATTTACCCCCCTCCCCCCCCCCCCCCCAAAAAAAAAACAAAAAAAACAAAAACGAAACAATTGCTTAAAAACTGCTCTCGTGGTTTATGTTAGCCTCTTTGTGAAATAATAATGATTATGATGATAATGATTATGATGATGATGACGATAATAACAATAATGATAAAATAATAATAATTATAATAATAATGATAATAATAATAATAATAATAATAATAATAATAATAAAGGGAATAAGAAGAAGAAGAAGAACAAGAAGAAGAACAAGAAGAAGAAAAAGAGGAGAACAACGGCAAAACCAACAAAAACGAAAACAACAAATATAATGACTAATATTGTTAATATAATATGATGACAATAATGATATTGATAATTACCATTAAGATGATAATGATGATGATAATAATGATAATAATAGCCCACATTTCAAACTACATCTGAGTTCACTCGCACTGGAACTTTGAAGAGAAATGACCATCAGAAATACATTGAACTTACTGAGTACTCGTGTATTTACCTGACAAAGCAAAAATCTACTTGACTTATTGGACATTAATCACGGTAGGCAACTGAACGGCCAATTAACTGAATCAAGAGAGGAATCATATATGGAAGTAAGGATGTAACTGACCTGTATCATAGCCCACGCAAACCATTAAAAGAACAACACTAATAGAACACCACCATCATCGCAACTATCACTACCATAAACACCACTATCATTACACTCAACACAACTATCATTACACTCAACACCACTATCATTACACTCAACAAAACTATCATTACACTCATTAAAACTATCATTACACTCAACAAAACTATCAATACACTCAACACCACTATCATTACACTCAACAAAACTATCATTACACTCAACAAAAATATCATTACACTCAACAAAACTATCATTACACTCAACACCACTATCATTACACTCAACACAACTATCATTACACTCAACACCACTATCATTACACTCAACACCACTATTATTACACTTAATACCACTATCATTACACTCAACACCACTATCATTACACTCAACACCACTATCATTACACTCAACAACAATATCATTACACTCAACACCACTATCATTACACTCAACACCACTATCATTACACTCAACACCACTATCATTACACTCAACAAAACTATCATTACACTCAACAAAAATATCATTACACTCAACAAAACTATCATTACACTCAACACCACTATCATTACACTCAACACAACTATCATTACACTTAACACAACTATCATTACACTTAACACCACTATCATTACACAAACACCACTATCATTACACTCAACATCACTATCATTACACTCAACAAAACTATCATTACACTCAACAAAACTATCATTACACTCAACACCACTATCATTACACTCAACACAACTATCATTACACTTAACACCACTATCATTACACACAACACCACTATCATTACACTCAACGCCACTATCATTACACTCAACAAAACTATCATTACACTCAACATCACTATCATTACACTCAACAAAACTATCATTACACTCAACACCACAATCATTACACTCAACACCACTATCATTACACTCAACACCACTATCATGACACTCAACACCACTATCATTACACTCAACACCACTATCATTACACTCAACACAACTATTCTTACACTCAACACCACTATCATTACACACAACACCACAATCATTACACTCAACACCACTATCACTACCATAAACACCACTATCACTACACTCAACACCATAATCATTACACTCAACACCACTATCATTACACACTCAACACCACTATCATTACACTCAACACCACTATCATTACATTCAACACCACTATCATTACACTCAACACCACTATCATTACACTCAACACCACTATCATTACACTCAACACCACTATCATTACACTCAACACCACTATCATTACACTCAACACCACTATCATTACACTCAACACCACTATCATTTCACTCAACACCACTATCATTTCACTCAACACAACTATCATTACACTCAACAAAAATATCCTTACACTCAACACCACTATCATTACACACAACACCACTATCACTACCATCATCACCACTTCTACCAACACCACTGTCACAACACTCAACACCACTATTAATAACATCAACACCATTATCACTTCCATCAAAACAAACCACTATCACTACTACAAAACAATCATATACGTTCATATTTTAACTTGGATAACTTAATTTGAAATTGAAAAGGCTAAATACGTAAGGTTTTAAGATGTCCCGACTAAGTATCGAGTTTTAAAGGATCAAATTCATGTACTTTTTCTTGGGCTGCTAATCGGTCGGACACTTTGCGCGATTGTAGCCGACGAAATACCATGTGTAGATGACTTAGCTCTGGACGCGCCTTCATCGTCGCAAAAATGATATCATGATAATTATGATGATAATTATTGTTCATAATATTTTTAATGAACATTATTTTCTTTAAACAATCATTTGACTTGAAACCATTCAATTGAGTGCATGTATACTGGGAACCTCTATCTAGACTACAACGAACTCTGTAGCGTACTAATGTACTTGTATAACCGTTTATTATCTTTTCCGGATATCGGCTTCATTTCGATAGATATTCTCCAGTATGCTAAGTCATTAGATAATATAGGGTAACGGATACCTGTTATTCTTATCATCAATAATCAGTTATTATTATTGCTCTAGAATCGCTGATTCATAGGTCATGCGGCGTTAATGTTTTTCTATAAATATGCCGTCTATAACACAATATAATGAAATTATTAACGGGAAGGGCCGAAAAGTCGCACTCTAGAATAATTACCTCAAAGCGAACTAAGACAGAATTAATAATACATTTCACTACTGTAATGATATCTATTTAACCCATCGGCGTGTGCACACGTTTTACTACACATTATGACTACTTTAGTATATTTGGAATTATTTTTGTCCAATAGGATTGCAGTATTTCAAATGAATCGTAGCACATTTACTTTGGTAAATCGGCAAACTGTTAAGCAGTCTTAAAAATCGACTATTGTTAAAATAATTTAAAACACTAAGTCGGTTGAAATTTATGAGTACGTATTTACAAAATAGAATTGGTCGCGCGGCTTTGCCGCGCCTGACCAATTTAATATTGTAAATACGTACTAATAAACTTTAACTTATTCTATATACTAACCTATACTTAAAGGTACATGCCTTTAGATGAGTAAAAACCCAAAATTAAAAAAAAAAACAAAAATTGATTTATCTTGTTGGATGACCAAATGGATGGACGGACGGATGGACGGACGTAAGACCGAATTTTGATAAGGGACCATTTTAAATGTATACACCCTCAATTATTATTATGTAAAATATATATCAACAAAAAATTATTTATCTTTTTAGATGACCAAATGGATGGACGAACGAACGGACGAATGGACGGATATGCGACAAGAATTTGATAAGGGCCATTTCTATTGTTTCTTCACTGTTTAATAAAGACCAATGGCTTTTTCCACTAGTGTTACGTAATGAACGCTGTTGTTGTTCTTTTTTGTTCTGTTTACAGTCATATTCCTCCAATCTTTATTCGGTAACACGGAAAGACAGACGGACAGATGGAAAGAAATAGGTTATTTTAAAATCATAAGTCGACCTTTTGACTGTAATTGTGTTTTTGATAAATATAATACATGTATTAAATTTGTGTAGCCCTATTACATATTTTTATTGACCCCGTTTAATGAAAGCAGTTTCATTATGCCAGCCTTCTATACGATATTCAAAAGATGCCAGCTTGGCTGGAGGAAGTAAACCTCAGGTGCACCTCTTTATATTATTTCAGGTACAAACACAGCGACGTTTCGTAAGCTAGCTGGACAGTTTCCTCGCATGTAAGATCTGACCTGCGTGGCTCGAACCTACAACGTTGAGAGGCAAGTTGTTTTAATCAACGCGACCAAGGATAATGTTCTCTATATACACATAAACTTTAAAGAGGAATGTCCTAAGTTTTTACAAGAAAAGCATTGATGCAAAGCATCAAAGGGCGACGCCAAAAGAATTTGATCCAGGTTTGCACCTAAATACTTAACAAAAGATGTGTACTTTATAGCAGTACCATTTCATGTGACCTGGAGGCTTGGCCCAGTTTATGTTGAAACTTAAACCAAAAAGAATAGACTCTGTCTTGCCAAGATGCAAAGACAATTTATAGTCAATAAACCAATCTTAAGATTTATTTTACCAGATACAAGGATACCTGAGTCATCATCATATAATGACAGGCACAAGTATCACACCTGGGAAGAAAAAATATGACCAGATTAATAAAAAATCTGTGTTCATCTTAAAAGTGTCAAAAACTAAAAAAAAAAAAAAATGTAAATAATGACCCCCTTTAAAAATATACTATTAACTTAAAGTATATTTTTAAAGGGGGTCATCATTTACATTTTTTTTTGGTTTGTGACACTTTTAAGATGAACACAGGTTTTTTTATCAATCTGGTAATATTTTTTCTTCCCAGGTCTGATACTTGTGCCTGTGCATATAATAAAAGCTTATTGCTTAGGGTTGCAGACATGTCATACATAAAAGAGGACCTAAAATGAACATCAGGGGGACACCATGATAGGTATTCAGAGAGAAGGAGTACCAGCCACATTCACCAGCTGCTATCATAGATAAGACTTGAACCATGCAAGAATGTCATTACATATGACAGATGCTTGAAGAGATGAAGAAGAAGAAAAAAGAACTTCTTCATGTGCAGTTTAGTGTGATCAACTGTACCAAATGCTTTTTGTAGATTTAAAAGTATCACGCAATACTGCCTTTGTCCATTTCAAATTAAATGCAATCTATTAAATGAATCAAACATGTGTCAGTTGAAAAAAACACTTCTAAACCCTGACTGAAACTGCCTGACCATGACTCGAACCCATGACTTTCAGAAGACCAACTGAGCTATCCGGCCGGCTACACATTTTCTCTTTAATAATGAAACAGTTCTAAACCTAAACCTTTTTCCCCACTATATTGATTCATGTACTTGAATTTCTGATGTTTACAGAGCATAGTGAATTAAACTCATGGTTATTTGCAGTAACAGGATGAGAAAAACTTTCAGCTTGACCAGAACTCAAACCTGTGACCCACAGAATAATGTACCGCGGCTGTAGCGATTGAGCTATCTGGCCGCTTACACATTTTCTCCCCTAAATAGTGAACAGTTCTAAACCGTGACAGATATTTAGATTTTTAAATTAACAGATATAGTTAATTCTTAATTAATAAATAAGAAAAAAAAACCTTACATACTCTGATAGTCTTAATTAAAATAACAATTTATATAATTATTATTGTATAATTATTTTTACTAAAAAGGGCTAAGACAGTTATTGGTTGTGCCATTATTTATAACAGGTCAATTTGAAAGAGAATATAACTGTGCTAATACATGTACAATATCTATGATAAGAAATTTTATGAAGGCTGATTTGTATTTTACATCAAGGGCACCGGGCGAAAACATGAAAATGCAACCAACGAACCACTTTGTGGTAGATTGTATTTTCATGTTTTCATCTGGCGCCCGGTTACTTTTTGTACTTTGTTGGTTTTCATGTGGCACAAATCACCCACTATAAAATTTAGTGTACAAATTTATTCAAGGACAAGTATCAATCTACTCTATGAGAAGTCTGTTGTCGGGTTGACTCAGGAGACCTGGAGATTGAGACCGGTGTCCCTCCATTACAAATAGATAAGGCAGAAGCTGTCCTTTTCAAACTTTGCACATGTTAGAAAAAATTAGAATAACTATTCAGAACATGATTTTTTGAGGCTTTATCAATTATATTGCTTGATCCAAGTTTCAGGACATTTTCAATTAATACATGTATTATCATTTATAACTTTAAATGAAAGTCTCATCTCTTTAATAATAATGACATAACTGCAACTCTTTAAATTCAGAAATATTATAAATCTCATCATACCAATATACTAAGATATAAATGTATGCACATAACATTAATAATTCCAAGTTTCTATTAAATAAATATGAAATAATGGGTATATAAAGCCAGTAAAAGTATATATATATCAATATTCACTCATCAGGGCCTCTGTGCTTTTGATGACCTTGCAACTGGTAAATTTTATAAAACAAAAATTGTAAGTAATACCTAAGATAGACAGAAAAGAACAAATAATTTAGTAAACATGAGTTACTTCCCCTTGAAATAAAGAAAACATGAAACCCAAAAGAACACCCTAAACATCAAAATTAAGAAATGTTGCAGGCTCATTTTAATTATGCCATGCAAATTAATGGTAAAGTATTCATAAAAAAAGTAGATGGCCATGTGACAGCAGTAATTGCAGAAAATCGGATAGCTGTCAACATCCGGATACTGGTACACTTTGTAAAAACAACCATTCTGTTCAACAGATAAACGTAATATGGATAAAATCAATAGGATAATCGTTTACAACAGTCCATTACCTATCCTAATACTCATTTGCAGGTGAACTTTCTTTTTGTAGGAAATTTTTTAAAATATATAAATGAATGAGCATCAATGTAGACCACAACGATTTTCGAAATTCGGGTTTTAGTATTGTCAATAAAACAAAGGGACAAGCTGTTAATCTGAGCCTGCAATTTCATGAAAATAATATCACAATGCACATGCTTTTATATAAAGTTATTAAATACAAATATAACAACATATTTGTTTACTTGATTTTTACGAATCAAAATAAAACTAATTAACACAACATGAAATTAACTGCTAATAATAACAGCTCCTTCCATAGGCAAAAATAAAAAGCATTCCATATAAGACGACGCCGCTCACCGGCGTCGCCAATAACATATAAAATGAGTCAAAATAACACAAAGACGGGAATCTTGACATAAATGTAACGTTTATATTACAATAATGATATATGTTTAATTACTGATTCGCATGGAAATAGGAAAACAACAAATATCATTGAACATTTCAGCCCATCTGCCCAAAAGGAGTTTTAGGAGCAGAATGAAAAAAGAAAACTCAAGGGAAATGAAAGGGAAACACCACAATGGTGATACGGCAAATTGTTTTATAAAAATAATAATACAAAATAATTTATACATTTTTTGTCCTCTTTTAAACCGAAATGTACTTTTGGAAGTAAGTCATTGACAGCTGACAACAGACGACATTCGAAGTAGGTCAACCTGTTCTATCAATAAGATCAATGATGTACTTATAAATATCGAATAATTAATGGCTTATTGAACTATAAGTACTATAACGTCGCTAAGATTAATTTGTTTAAGGTTTATGAATTTACAATGCGAAAAAACGGGTTGTTTTATTTTAGATTTATTATTTTTTAAGTTGCAAGTTTTTTTTACAGCTCAAGTTAGTCTAAAAATAGTGTCAACCCGACATTAATATCTCGAAACTCACCGTGGGTTTTATATTAGATCTATATAATGTACTTAAGTAAGATGAAAAATCGGGTAAAGTACGTGAAAATAGTGAAGGCCAACAATAAATAAAAGTGAACTATTGGTAGATCAATTATTTATGAAGTTTATTGGCTCCCGCAAAGGTCCTGTAAAAAAATGTAATTTATTTTTTCATTTATTTTTGGATTGGGACTATGGTCCGCATTCTTGAGATATTTTATAGCGGTTGCAAGCTGCACTTTTTCGAGAAGTCGAAAGGTACCATTACATGACTAAGTCCGGTAAGAGAAGATATTTATTAAGTGACACTTACTATCAGTGCGTGCTTTTTTTTTTAATTTTCAAAAAACAACCTGTTGCTTTTTAGAAAGGCGGTGGGGGGCATTTAGCACAATAAATCAGAAAAGAGGGGTAAACCAGAACTCATATTCTAACAACTGAGAATAAAATTCACCCACACATTTTTAATTTTTAATAAATCTTCTATTTCAATTCAATTTCACATGCATGGAAAATAGCAGAGGCTATCTATATGTAACTTTTTGTCTTTCAACTATTATATTTAGCACCAAGCTGATATAGGTCAGCTGCTGTTAAGTCATGGTTCTGGTGGGTATTCCTGGAGAAAATATGCCTGTTTTGGGCCAGGTGAATTAGCATCTTAATTTGGCTGTATGGGGGAGGGGGGGGGGGGGCACTGCCTTCTGTAACTGACCAACATAAATGCACTTTAGTTTATACCGCTTTAAACCACAAGCCCCAGTGGTTTATATCACTGATAAACAAGCAATATTTTCGACTGTAAATAAGTTTATACCTACAGATCAAAACGAAGTCCCAATTCGGGATAATTTTATTATTTACCGATGATATTCCGTATTAGGAATTTATTTTACGCCGACGATATTCCTTGACGGGATGGATGTTTAATTAATGATCGACGACCATATTTCTTTAACCGGATTACGTTTGATTTCTTCGATGGCTTATCTGTTTATTTCTGTAAGTTGGATAATCCTTATATTACAGACACTGTTATATATTTTGGCACAAATCTTCAAAGAAATCATGATTACTTTAAAGGCACATTATGCCTGCCTTAGAAATGAATACATTTGTTCTCCTTTAGAAAAAAATATCAAACATATTAAATAAGTAAAATGCTTATTACTTGAAGAAAGTAGTACTGGAAGTGACATTATTTTTAAATAATAGTCGCAAAATGTATAGAAAGAGATATTTTGAATTCTATGCAAATTACGAAATCGCTATATTTGTACTAAATGCCAGAAAACAACAGAAGCAAATGATGGCTCACGTAATTGGCCATGGGTATCTTATTATAAAATATTACACGACACCAAAAATAAAACGTTTATGCGAAAAAGGAAAAAGAAAAAAGAAAAAAAAAGTAAAAAACATTTTTGAGTATATTGTGCCTTTAATATATTAATTTAAACAAATCACAAAATTATGAAAAACCCCCAAAAAGGACTTTGTTCATGCTTTTATATTTGGGTATACATTTGCGTGCCGACATAAATAGTGTTTGGGACCACGTTTACACGGATTCAGTACTATACGGTTATATATATTATTTTTGTATTAAACTGTCCTTTGCCGTTTACATATGCCGAGAGGTAAACATAAAAGCAATGGATTGTGACCTTTGATTAAACATATGATTTATGCAGCATAAATAAATATTCCCAGTTTGATATATAGGCATGACGTCACTTTGACCGATATCCGAACTTTACCTTTTATAGAGTATAAAAATCGTTCATTCACAAATACAACAGCTATATTCTGTGTAGCATAACTAGGTATTTCTCGTATCAGTTGGATTTATAATAAAGTACTAGTATATATAAATCAATATATAGGATAAATCGTTGTGCAAATACAACAAGTTTTTTTTTAAATGACAGAATTTTATCTTAGATAATACATATCAAGATTGCACGATAATCAATATGCAGACAAAAGGTTTAAGAGCACTAATATCAAGCGAGTTCAGACGATTTTTGGCAGGGTTCAAGCGACAACAATTGTTTGGCTGTAGTTGATGCACTACGCACGATCTCCAAATTTTTGTTTTTTCAGAGACCGCGCATATATATAGTAAAATCGTGACGTCATTTAAGTATTAGCACTGTAAGTTTGCTCGTTGTTTAGTCGAACTACTGAGTCTATAGTGAGCGCCTGAAACCTGTCAAAAATCAACTTAAACCTTACAAGGGAAAATTTAAAAAATAGGGAGTTAGCTATTCAACGCACACGCCCTCGCATGCATTGTAGCTCACTTAAGGAACATCTTTACCCAAAAAACATTATATACTCAGCAGTGTGTGCTTGTGGCGGAGTTGAGGATACAGATCATTTTCTCTTACACTGTCCGATTTACACAAACCAAAGAGCGGATCTTCTCAGTAATATTTCACCAATCTACTCAGTTAATTTGGATATCTTTCTTTTTGGCAATGAATCCTTGGACAATGGCACCAACTCATTTATTTTGACACAGGAACAAAATTACATTTGTCACGCAGGTCGTTTCAAATGATACAAACCCCACTTAGGCATGGACTTGACCCTTGACCCTTTCATAAACTTTTCTTTATTCTTTCTTTCTTTCTTCCTTAATATTAATTTCTGAACTGTATACTCCCCTGACACTTTTACGTTTCAATTACACTCTACCAACTCACAATTCATTTTTTATTTATACATCTTTTTTCTCTGTAGTTTTCTCAAAAATATTATTTCATATTGATTATTACATCATTATGGCAGCTTAGCACGATAGTCAGAAGCGAGGCTTAGCATACGCTTTTAGCTTTCTCGTGCACTTAATAATTTCTGTATACATTTTAGTTTAGCCTTAATGTTAACTCGCTCTGTAATCATTCATGTGTACTTTGTATGATATATTATGTAAACAATTTATTGAAATTAAATATTGTTTTAACCAACCAAAATTAAAAATGAATCCTAGCAAGGGAGATCACTCTGTGACGCTAAAATTGAAATGAATGAGGGAGATCACTCAGCCGCACTAAATATTCAAATGAGACCTAGCAAGAATGTTTACTTAACACACTAGTAAAAAAGGAGACATTACGGTGGATATCACATTAGAGCGAAGAAATATTAACTAAATTCTCTACTAAAAAAAGATAAATAAATAAAGAATAAAAAATTTAGTTTTTTCTTTGTTATTGATCTAGATAAAAAACACTATTACGATGAATTTTGTAAGTTCAAAATACTCGTACTGAAGATTATTTGATATGTTGTCACAATTCATATCACTATCTATGTTTTTAAAGTACACGGAGATATTGTTGCATCTGTTAAGGTTTAAATTTAATGACATTGCAGTATCAATAACATGTTCCATGACCAGTACATGTTATATAAATGATTGAAACCTGAGAGTTAAAGGAACGGCTCGTTATCAATTTCTAAAGTGCAGCCGCCGACTTTGTATTTGAAGTGCGCATATCAATATTCTGTAATCATAATAAAAGCTGTTTTCAGTATGTACTTTTGATTTATACTCTTTTGTATAATTATCTAAAGTAATTCGTTCGAGCGGGAAGCGAGTTTTAGAACACGTTTAGATTTAATCGCTTGTAACATTTTTAAGTTTAATTGTGAAGGATACAATGATTTTTTAAAAAATATTTGATTGACTGTTCACCATTTTCTCTTTATTGATTAAATCATTTTTTGTTGTTGTTGATTTTCTGATACTTTTGGCGTACCCTCTCTGTAAATTATCCTTAAGGAAATGACATTCATGATCGTTTCAATCAAACAGACACGGAGGTTTACGCTCATACGATACGTTTCTAATTTCTCAGTTTAAGTTTTCAAAATTCGTCAATTATTGTACACCTTTCAAACCAGAGTGCATAATTATTTAGATATATTAAGACTACCGGTATAGGCCGGAATATCTAACTCGCAGGGTAACTATTCATGGTGGTAACGAAGCCCTGCTGTTTCCGCATAAACTGTTTCCTGTGAGCAAGAAATTCCCGTCTGTGACGACAACCGGTGTTTGATTCGTTTTCTTGCATATAAGATGTTATGTTTCGGAAAACTAATGTTTTCATGTCGCATTTTTTTCTTATAGTAGCGGAAGAATTTACAACTTCATTCATAACGGCAAAATGAATCCATTCATAAACAAATTACAGCAAAACGAAAGCAACCCGAAAACAACACAGGGCCTGTTATTATTTTTTATTGACTAAAGCGGCGTGAGGATAAAATCTGGACTTATGAAAAAAGGAATATTGGTTGCAATAGAAGTAACTTTTGAAAATTGCAGAAATTATGACATAGTGTAATATTTCGCATGCACCCTAGCATCAGCATAAGTTGACATTCAATTCGTGACTTTAATGTCATTTATGTTGCTAAATATACCAGTGCATTATTATGTAAAAGTACAAATGTACTAATTTATAACTAAACAGCATGTACTGTTACCTTTATTGCGCTTATGCAACAAAGTCACACAAAAGCACAAATGTACTTTCACTGGACTTATTAAGTATTTTATAAATGCACGGTAATTGTTGTTATGGTGTCCACAGGAATTTCATTCACATTGTCTAATAACCAAGCTGAACAACGAAAAACATATTCTCATATTTCACAGCAGTAGATATTCTGTGTGAATGGATGCGATAATGACGTCATTGATCCAAAGGCCAATAGGAACCGTTCTTGTTCGAGAGAACTATTATAAATGGCGAGCGACTTATTGATAGAACTATTATTTCCACAGAGACCTACGACAGACTGTCGTGAGTGAAGCCAGAAAGTTGTATATTGGTAAATATACGGGCATACCGCTTACTGTCAATCCTTAATAATCGTCATTTAATTTCAGTCTAGAGAAAGACGCTTATTCAGAAGCCATGGCTTTCAATTTGGAAATTAATCCGTTTCTTGTACTTGCGTTCCTCGGGATGTGCCTTGTATTTTTATACAGGTATGTATTTCAAATTATTTGGTTTAAATAAAAAAAATATATTAGTTTGTCGTAAACACGAGCAGCATCTTTGATTTGTCAACAAAATAATAGCAAAAGTATTATTTATATTAGTTATATTTTAATTTTCGTTTTTTAGGGGTTTAACTTATGATTTTTTAAAAAAAATTTATGCGGAAAAATTGTTGTTTCCGTAAATCTTTTTTGAAGCTTCTCGAAAGAGTTGTACCAATGAAAGTTTTTTATAATAAACATACATGAAAATTGCAATCAACATTATAAAATGTTCCTAACAAAGGCAATGATTTGACTGTTTAGCATTGAATTCGTACATGGGAAAATTCTAACTTATTTTCTTCATTCAGGTCTTGTGGAATTTTTTTTTTGCAAAAAAATAATACAAATTTTTTAAACTGCAGAAAGTAGATATAAAGCTTGTTACCTTAAACAATGATATTTAAATATTTCACTAAAAAGCGAAAAAGCTATGCTGTGTCTTAGTTAAATACATGAATTTTAAGTTTAAATTGTGTTTAAGATAGACATAACAAAAGTTTAGTATTTTGCGACCCTTATATTTCGAATAATGACAACACTTTTTTAAACTGTTTTGTCTGTTTTTGACTTTGTGATCAGCAGCAGATAATAAAAAGTTTTTCTCTATTTTTTTTTTCAAAAATACATGAATGTAATTTTTGCAAATTCTTGATATACCAATACCAAAATATGTAATATAAAAAAAACTAGATTTTTGACAAAATTAATGTATTAATGTAAAGGATACTATTTGAAAGGCTTTGCTTTATTGATATATTTTGTTACTAGTCCCCCCCCCCCCCTAAAAAAATAAAATAAAATAAAATAAATAAATAAAAAATGTATGTATAATTCGTGGGTTGAAATAGCTTTCATTGGCGTTCTTTTTCCGATATATGAGTAGAAAATTGTACTTGAAAAGTGAAGAATTGAAAATTCAATACTCCTTATTTAAGTGCAAGTGAATTTTGTACTTATTTCTTGCACAGTTAATATCCCCAATGGATCTTATTCATTCCACAACTTTACACTTTAAGCGGCGTTGGTCATTCCTCTTTGAACTTTTTTTATTATTATCTATGCTAGGTGCGGGGTAAAGTAATTCATCGAAATGCAAGCTGCATGTTGGGATATCTTTATTTAACAATAAGATGAACCAAATAGTTATGTTTTTTTCTATTTTTCGATTAATAAACTTAATGGTATAGGGAAATAATTAATATGTGCGCAATTATAAATAAACAGAGTAGGAATGCATGTTGTTTTTTTTCTTTATCATTCAACGTAAAGCATTATCTATAGTTATTATAAAATGTGTTATTTTTTTCTTCAAAAATCTTTGTTTTTAATAATTGAATATCTTCGATTGTATATGACCTATTTCAAACAGCAACAACATATTTTTAAATGTCCTAAAAAAAAAAAAAAAAAAAAAAACGAAAAAAAAAAACAAAAACAAAAAAAAAACTACAAATTAAATAAAAAAATTAATAAAACAAACAATAAAGAAAACCGCATATTTACAAGCTTAGAGAATTTACAATATAAAAACGCATATTTACAGGCTGTGACAGAATTTAAACAAAACCGCTTATTATCAAGCTATAGTATAATAATATAGGTAAAACCCCATATTTACAAGCTATAAGAAAATATTTATGAAAAATGAAACTGCGTATATTAAAGCTATATATATAAGAGAATTCACAAAATAAAACCGCAAGCTAAAAGAGAATTTGCACATAGACACAAACTTTCTTTTTAGACGAAAAAAAAGTTATTGTGATTAAATGTAATTTCGTTTTGAGTTCTTGAGAACAAAACATATTTCTATCTATTTAAATGGACCGTTTTTTTATCAGATATATGAAAGAGTTATATTCGACATTGGAGAAACTTGGCGTGCCAGGTCCGAAACCGGTGTGGGTGTTTGGCAACGTGTTGGAGTTTAAAGGAAAGGTAAGTTGGTTAACTCTGCCTTTCCCTGGTTTCACATATATAACTTACGAATGATGTTTTAAAAAAATTCTGAACAGTAAAGACAATACTTTGATCCCTAAAAAGAACTCTTTGAATTTGCCTTTTTTATGAGTGCTGATTAAAATGTAATATCATTTATACAAGGCGGCCCTTAAATTTTCACAGAAATCTCGAAAGCTATTCAAATTTTTCACAGAAATTATGAAACTTGTTATTAAGTTGTTTTCATTTTTTTCACATGAAAAAATGATATCTACAAACTTTTCACAGAAATTATGAAACTTGTTATTAAGTTGTTTTCATTTTTTTCACATGAAAAAATGATATCTGTAAAAAATATTACAATATTTACATCACTTTTGAACCTGAAATACGTCATTATTACGACGAAGCGTCATAAGACGCTGACAAATTAAACATGTATGACAATGGACTTATGTTCACATCATGAATGTCGCTGAACCCAGCCCAAATAAAAGACTTACTTTGATGTCTTTGAAATAATTTCAGAACGTATTAGATGTATTTGACGACTGGAAAAAGAAGTTTGGAAACGTCTACGGGTAAGCAATAAAGCGCTTTCACAAGTTATCGTCAGATCTTTCTACAGCTCTATTCACTTGTTTCGACGGTTAAAATGTCATATTAATATGTCAAAAAGAAAGGTGACATTGACGTTTGGTCGCGCACTTTTGTAAACTTAATACAATTTTCAACATCACACATTCAGACATATGTAATTCATTTCAAACGTGGTTTCATTACATTTTTTTTTGAAAAGTACTTCATCTATTTATGACTCGGATCTTTCCGCATATTATTATAATAATGATATTATTATTTACAATTCCATGACTTTGTCTGTCTGTCTGTCCTGAGTTGTTTTTTTCAAAAGATTTTTTTTAACTCAGATACAAACAAATGTTTACATTTTTTCCTATATATCATCAACATCTTTTCACAGGTTTTACGAAGGCTTCCGACCAGGAATAGTTCTGAACGATGCCGACTTTGCAAGAGATATCCTTAGTAGACATTTTGAAAAATTTCATATCCGCACTGTAAGTTTACGGGAAATATTTCATGAATTATTCTTTTCATATTAAAATTTATTACTAAGATGAATTAGTAACAACGTATACAAATGTGTCAATTATATAATTTCTATAAGCACACGCAATTGTAATTCTAATTCGTAAGCTTTCATGAATGCTGTATCGTCGTTGTCGAGTAGAAACTTTCGTTTAGACCATTCATTATTTAAACATTTTAAAAGTTATAAATATGAAACTTTTTTGCTAACAGTTGTAAGACAAATAGACATATTTCTGGAAGCCATATTATTGGAGTAATGTCCCTTTTTAAGTTAAAACTTGTGTCAAAATTACTGTTATTATTGACGAGCGTTATCAGCGCATACGGTGCTCTTGTTATTGATGTTTTTTAATATAACAGTTGTCTTTTTTTACTTTACTGAGAAATGATTTATTAAATTTTCTGCAACATGTCTTAATGTCATTTTAATAGATAGTTTTACAATTTTCAGAGTTATCGCCCATTCATATATTACCCTGACAACCTACGACTTATTGAAATCGAAGGCGAGCACTGGAAAAACCAACGAGCAATTCTAAACAAAATGCTGAACTCTAAGGGTACCTTAAAACGAGTAAGTATAAAACGATGAAAACAAAAGAAAGATAAGAGAACTTGCTGAAGATTTAATATATCTTAGACATATATCTTAGACCGGTGCGTGGTAGCCTCTCGCCATCGTTCATAAATCATTCAATTTGAGTTTGCTATTTGCACCTGATAACCTTTGTTTTCTCGCACCTGTGAACTTTTGATGATAAAACTGTCGCGGAATCTTACCTTAAAATCAAACTATTGCATATATCGACCTGTTTTTGATAATTCTATTTTGACTCCAATTCTTATCATTTGCTCATTGACATGCAATTTTTCGTGTATGCGTGTTAAACTTTAATGAGAATTTGAAACAGCTTGTTATAAAAATACACATTGATAGATTCTCGCCTCTGGAATTTTAAATGAGCATTCCATTGTCTCTTCAGGTTGCTGAAAAGATGCAAACAAGATCAGACAAGATGCTTCAAACGGTCGCCGAGGAAATGAAAGAGCCAACTGAAGGAGTGGACATTTCCAGGTATATTATGTTAATTACTAGAAGAAAAACATTCGACTTATTCAACAACAACTCAACAGTTGAAAATTGATTATTTGGGATAGTCAACGAATATAGAAGAAGGGCGGACGTGTCGAACGACTCTCATTTATTAATAGTTAATTATTGCAAATACCATTATACTGGTTATAATAATAATTCATGTTATCAGTGAAAGCATACTTTTAATCACGGATTTATATTACTGTAATATAAATCCGTGTTTTAATGTGGCATTGTATAGGCACTCTCCCTGATATCAATTTCTTTTTTATCTTACTTGTGTAATATTTATACTTTTTTAAATAGTTTTTACATGGCTCTTTTATAAATAAATATTCGTACTGTGCATCTTGAATAAATAATTGTGATGATTAATGAATTATAGTAATATTAATATTTTTATTAATCAATTTATTTATTCATTTATTTATTTTATTTATTTATTTATCTATTCAATGATTTATTATTTATTTATTTATTTATTTATTTATTTATTTATTTACTTCAGATTAGTAAACAACTATGTTTGTGAAGGCGTGATCCGAATTCTGTTAGATATGGACGACGATCAAATGACCAAACACAAAGAAGCTATTCATAACTATGAAGTCTGCAGTAATTGGTCGGCATCAGCAGAAAACGAAGCTGGAGGGCTAGCTAGTACGTTTTCTCAATAAATATAATAGGAACGCACGATAAATTAAAATATAATAAATTCGAATGAAAAAAAAACTGTAACATTTCCCAAAATTGCGTCACTAAGACCTTTTTGAATAATGCTAAAAATACGAATTTGGAAAATTATGATCAGTTTAAAGGACAAGCAATGGTTTCTTTAAAATTTGTTTTGTCATTAATGTAAATTTGCCGTTTATGTAACTTAATGTCCTTTCTCGATATTCCATCTTACTTTCAGAAATGTACGTTATTATAGTCCAAAATGTTGCTCTAAAACTCTACTCTTAGCGTACTATAACTTTACTTTATCATGGTAAAATTATTTTCAGGGTTATTTCCATCTCTTACTCCACTTCTACAACTGACAGATACAGCACATAAAGTATCCCATGAAAAAGTCGTAGATATTCTTAGAGAATACTTAACAAGTACAGTTGACGGTCAGGTAAGCACTTTTTAAAAGGAACGTTCATGGTGTTCATAAAAACGTAGTTTACCATATTTAACATATGTGAATAAAACAAAGATTTAAGAAACGTATTAATGAGTTTTTTTCTTTGAACTTAAATGATAGGAACCTTTCTTTCCATTACTAAAAAAAACGATAATAATCTTATCTGAAAGTTCATCTTATCTACAATTTTCATCAGACTTGAAAAAATGTAATTGGATACAAGTATCAAAAGTTCGTTGGATTCGTCGAATTCCGTGACACATTTAAAGTACATGTATAAACAACCTTCAACGTGACTGGTATCAACACATCATCATGTCAATTAAACGCTCTTTGAGTCTATATGGAAATCCTCGAAAACTGATACGAGGAGTTCATAGACGGAAATCCTAAAAAAAGTATACACAAAGAAAATTGATACATCTACAAAATATTAAATATTTAACTCTTTATTTTCAGAACAACAATAAATTAAATGACGATGACCACGAAAGTTTGCTATCATATCTCCTTTCCTCCAAAGTCCTATCTCGGGATATTGACGGAAGCCTCGGCCGCCGGGGCTTGACAACCGACGAGACAATTGCTCATATATTGTCACTATTGAGCGAGATTTACTCCACGACGACGGCGATTATACAGTTTATTCTGTACGAACTTGCCTGCAATCAGGATTGCCAAGAAAAACTTTACGACGAAATCTGCAGCTTTTGCGGAAAGGTAAGATTTTTCAATTCTTACAATATGTAAATCAAAAAAATTACTTTTCATGAAGATAGTCTAAAAAGTATTAAAGTTTTAATTTGTTACAAGTGTTAACACCAAGATGTAGATTTGATAATGCATATTTAATGAAGGTGAGTTCTTAATACATTGTTTGTAATTCAGAAAAAAAAACATTTTATCTTATATACCATTAATGAGCGAAAATATTATATATTATGTTTATAATTACAATGTTATATATGTTAATATAGGATGGAAATATCCCACTGACATCATTTCAAGACATGGAATACTTTGACATGTTCTTCAACGAGACATACCGACATCATCCCATTGCCCCAGGGTAAGATATGAAATGTTTTCAAATTTATTTACCATTTACATCTACAACATGGCCGAGTGGTTAATGCGTCGAAATTGACATCAATAAGGATCGCTAGCCGCGTGGGTTCAAACCCCGTGAGGGTCAAACTGTTGATTCCTTGAGCAAAAAGCTTTGCATTCATTGCTCAGTACTGGTTGGTTCCAGGAACGGATTCGAAATGTGGCTTACAGCTTTCTATACAATTTAACTAACAAAGCTTATACAAACTTTTTAGCATTAAAATATATACAAACAAAATCTTTTAAAACAAGTAGCTTCGTGTATTTTCAATGTCTTAGTTATTCTTACGATATATAAATGTCAGCTCGAGAAATGATGTATACCTTACAAACACATTATTCAACGTAAATGATTCTTCTGTTTTTCAGGATTTCCCGTGTCTGTACTGAGAGTTGTAAAATTCGGGGCGTGACATTCAAAGAGGGCATGGTAGTCCGAGTGATGACGTCTCCAATGTACATGGATGAGAACTTATTTGAACATCCTGATAAATTCATTCCGGAAAGGTATATATTTTAATCACGGCGTCATTTCCAATAGTTAATCAAAAATGCAATATGTGAAGTATATACATTATAAGGTATTCTCAATTTTTGTTATATCGATTTTCAAGTAGGTGTGGTAAATGCCAGAAGTATTCCAAACACAGATATGATATCTTATAATAGCTTATAAAGCAGCATGCTCTCCTAAGCAAACAAAGAGGGTGCTTTTATTTTGAAAATACATCGGCAATGGCTAAAAGAAAATCTATCCATTTGAATTTAATTGTCAAGTACCAATGATCTTACGGTTATAAATGAATAAATGTCTACGTTTAATTAAGACAAACATTTTTTACAAACATCATATTTATTTCATTCAAAACTTATTTCAGATTCTCAAAGGAAAACCGACTCGACAGTCATCAATACAGCTTTCTTCCTTTTGGTCAGGGTCCAAGAATGTGCCCGGGTCAACATTTAGCCAAGATACAAGTCAAAACAGCAATAATCAACATTTTGAGAAAGTACACACTATCGCCATGCAAAAATACAGAGGTACAACATAGTCTGTTAAACGAAATCTACAGTAAAATCCCAATTTAGCATACGCATATAAAACCCACTGTTTATTACTACATGTAATTGTCGTGAAGAAAAAAAAAGGTAAAAATAGAAGCCTTAAAGAATAGTCAATACAACTTCCTTGTCAACTCAAGTCACTTTTCACTCATCGGTTTCGTAAATATCGATTGGTTGGTCACACGACATTGATATTATCAATAAAACCGAAGCTAATGAAAGATAAAAGTTAAAAAGTTGATAAAAAAATAAAAAAATATTAAGCATTGTTGAATTAACACGATGTGTGGCGATTTGATATGAGGTCAATAATGCATTTAGCGTTACGTCAACTTGTCCAATACAACGCTTAAAAGCAACATCACATATTTTATATTAAAAACTTAATTAGAACACGGGTCTGTCAGGACAAAAATGGCAATAAAGTCCTATCATATGATAATTTTTTATCTTTTAATCCGCTATGCAAATGTAAATGTTTATCTTGTTTGTTTCAGATTCCAATAAAGGAAGCTTTGAGGCCATCACTTACCCCTGCCAATGCAGTATGGCTTCAAATGACGGAAAGATTATAAAGGTCTTTTACAGCGACATTTGGAGGGTAAGCGGAAATGCCCATGATTTTTTTTGCTGAAAATCTTCTTCAAGTATTGTATTAGATATACAGAAAAGTGTTATGTTTTCGACGCAACGAACTTTTGACGTGACGTCATTGCATGTGACGTTAAAATAAGACTAGTGAGTAGTAACGGATACCACTTTTGGTTGAATTTGGCGTTTGATTCGTACATTGTATTATGTTTTTATTAAAAGATATAAACACTTGTTTGTCTAAACTGTTACATGTATAAAACTGTGATATTTAAATAAGTTATTTATTCCTGATATTGTTTTTATCAAATGGCAAATATATATGTATAATTAAATGTGATTATCGTTGTATTCTAGATTCAAAATAAAATCTAAAGATAAGATAGTATGTAAGTCATTTGTAGCTGTTCCTTTATACCCTATAAAACAGTGAATTTGGAATTCAAACCCAACAATTTTACAATTATCAATGATGCCTCATAAAACATGCATATATAATTAAATATTCACGTTCCAGGAGTGCCATTAATCCATTTAATAATCAAAGTGCTGAAGGCACTGGATGCGACGCACGAAGGGCAAAAAAACCCAACAAAAAAACAAAACAACAACAACAAAAAAAAACAACAAAAACAAAACAAAACAAAAAAAAAAACAACAGCGATAAAACCGGTCAAAAACTACGTCAAAGGTTTTTAAGTCGATTTTCTTTTTAAAAGCATGTAAGAATGGAAAAGGATTTTTTTCCCATTATATCATAATCATGCACGATTATTTTAATTGCTTTTGAAAATTAATCACTCAGGCCTGTCAGCCTTCGTGCTTATATCCCAGCGCATGTAATATCGATTTGTGCATTATTCAACAACAATGCACTCAAAATTAATATCTATTTCTGAAATTAGAAATTCTAGAAAAAATGGTAACATGTATGAAGAAGATTTTTTTCACATGAAACGAACTATTTGTTTAAATTCTATTACAACATCTGCGTAAATTTTAAAATAAAAGATGTCACAATTAATTAGTTAATCTGCAGGAACTTAAAGCCTTCAGCCATTTCCACCAGCATAGAATTAAGCCAGCCTGTATTTCTATGCAGCTTACCACACGCACTTACTGTTGGAAGCTGTTTTTTGTATTTGACCAACGAATTCCCTTAAAAATGCAAATGGAATGTTCCAAATTAAAAGCAAGGCAAACCCATTGCGCAAATTCAGCCGGTTAAGGGTTAATATTATTAAATTGATTTTCTTTCATGATGATACTACCTGGGAATAAATCAACTTGTTTTGTGTTTGCGTGACTTTCCTATTTCGATTATTTCTCACCATTTTACAAATATCGCCTTTGATTTTAAAAGTAAAAGAACTTATATTTGTGTAGTTAATTTTCTTTCTCTGGGGAAATGGAAATAATAGTCTTAAGATATGTTTTTTTTCATGAAATTCGTCTTTGAAAATGTTCAGATTTATTTGGAAAAAAAGATATGCTCGCTTTGCAGTACGAGTCAAATATCATACGTATTGTTCTCAACAATAAATAATACTCTTTTTATCACATATTTTTGACACTTTGGCAGACTTTGTTACAAAATGTACAATTAGATTTGAAATAATGTTTTTAAAAAAATGAAAATGAAGTATTATAGATATTTTGAACCTTAAAAATGGAAACAAGGCTATATTGGGTACGATATACAATTGATGTAGATATTTTGGACTTTGTAAATGAAAACGAGGTTTGATATGCATTTGATATCGATTTTTAAAATTTGGTAAAAGAAACAAGGCTTTTAAAATGACATGTCTGGAACCGATAATGATGTTTATTGAAATATCGAAGTTCATTGGTTAAATTTTATAAGGAGTGAAATAGAATATCCTTATCGATACATTGCGGATAACACAAACATGCTGGAGTAAGCTAGTCTGCATAGCTCAATAGGTAAGAGCGCGAGACTTGTAGTCTTGACGACATATGACATCAGGTTCTTTCAAAGACCCTGATGACATGTATTATTACATTTAACCTTTGACATAAAGTCCCTGTTATATCACGCCTTTTTTCTTCTAACTAACGGAAATTTGAGTTGTCATATTTTTATTTTATTACTTTAACGCGTAAATGATAGGTCATGAATCAAAGGCGTCAGTTTTGTCATGAGCAAAATTACAGGATGAGCTGGAGGATACTTGCAGTTTTTGTTTCATATTTCGATTACGTGAGATTTTTATCCTTATTTAGAAGCAACTACAACTGCTGGACATTATACAAAAATAATAATTGCAAACTAAATGGATAAAATATCAAAAAGAACTAAATTGATAACTCCTAACAAGATTTTACTTTTTCATACGACAAATGATGGAAATATTTATTAGTTTAAGCATGTTTTATTGCATCAAGTACATACTTACAAACATATTATACAAATGATGAGAATATATAAAAAAGAAAATGGGTCGGGCAACAAGTTCTTACAACATTAGTAAATGTTTATTTTTGACCTTTTACTTCATATAGACGTGTTTTGAAGGCTTTTCGCCCCCCCCCCCCTTGAGGCCTCAAACAGTGCAGAAAAATGCCCTATTTAGGCCACAAACACTGTTTTTCGTTTGAGAAATGTTGTTAAAAAGTGATCACTTTTTGGCGCCGACCCTCATCAAAAGGATTCATCTAGGGTTTCCAGAAGGGGTTCGGTGGTTTGAAGGGGGCGGCAGCCCCTATCATCGCCAAGAAAAATTTTGACATGTGACATGCTAAAAATGGTCCAAGGTCGATCCTAAGGTAACTTGTAACCAACGCTGAAAAGCCTTTTACTCTATCTCAATCCATTGAAAAGTTGCAGCACTTTGAAATCAGTTTTGATGGAAAAAAACAATGCAAAATAGTGATTTTTCGCAATTTTGAGACGTCCCTTCGTAGCCACAGTAAATTTAAGAGACAGAGGCTATGGTCCAGTCAACATTTGTGCCAAGTGTCATCAGTATTGAAGCATTTTACGTAGTTTCATAGCAGTTTGAACTTGAACAATTTGCGGTTGAAAACAAATATATTGTTGAACAAGCAAGTCGGACAATGTCTGGCTTACATAAGAAAATAAGAAATCTAGATTAACCTATTGACTGTCAATTATAGTAAAAAAATTATTTGATCATATAATTGTACCAAACTTTAACTTCTGGACGTGAATTTTGAGGTTTTGGCGACTTGTCGCTCATAGATAAATTGCATACAGATTTCTTAAACCTTTTTGCATATCTAGAAAAGTACATCGAATTTAATGGTTTATGGAGAACTTGTGCGATTCCAATTATCAATTATTATAAAAAAAAGAATTGCTTTAGTCAACAGTAATTCAACAAAAAATTGTCGTCAAATAAATAAGCTTGTTTATGAAGATTTTGTCAGAGATGGTAAAGAGTACAAATGGTTATGAAACGTTAAGAGTATTTTTGACGAAACAGGTAAAAATTATATCTGGTTAATTCAGAAGTTTACTGGTCCTAAATATTTACTGTTAAAAACCCTTGATATGCCAATATGTAGCCAATAATTATGCACAAAATGTCGTAGTGATGTAGATTTAATGTCAAAATGCTTAAATTATAGAGTTTACAAAAATTATCATTGCCTTGAACTGTACATTTGTTTATTGTCAGACAAACGTTTCCAAACGTTTGTTAATTTTCGATTGTGTAACACACTCATCCCTATAGACAGAGGAAGGTGGTTGGGTAGTGTTCGAAATGAAAGAAAATGTACCCTTTGTAAACTAAATGACATAGGTGATGAACTTCGTTACATTTTTTCATGTAGTTTTTTTAAAGTAAACTGAAACGACTCTTACCACAAATTAATCAACATAACAAAAATATGTTTAAGTTTAGAAAATTTAATGAATTAAAGAGATCCACAAAAATTAAAACCACCTGGCTAGCCACATTGTTTTATTTATAATCTATAAGCATTTTCTGTTTTGCAGAATTTAACATGAATACTTAGTAAGCTACATTGTATGTAAAGAAATTTGTAGTCCAAAAAAC